GGGGAGGGGAGGGGACTCCTTATTTAATCCATCCATAGTTAAACTGATCTTTCTGTGATTCACAAACCTCCTTCTTACTTCCATAAATCTTCAAGTAGAAATTCAGAAAAATCAGTTGGAACTAGACCAGGTAGAGAGCCGGGGAGGGAAGGCTGTGACGGTTCTCCCTTTCCACAAGGGTGGCTCTCTAACTTGTGTGGCAGCAGGGGCTAGTTCAGGAGTTCTCACTCCTCTCCAGAGAAAACAAATGGGAATAGATGTGAGTTTTTACTCTCCTTCCCTTTTGCAGAGTTCCCTGGAAAGGGCCACAAGCGGCGTCCCTGCAGGAATGTGTAATATACATATGCTATTTTGCCTGAGCAACTTGGTTTTCTCTGGGGTAAACTCTCCTCCCACATAACTCCAGTGGGCCGACCTCTCCAGGGTCTCTAAGGATACCTCCAGGCCTACCAATCAGGCCCACATCATTGGTTCAGGGATGGGAAAGCGATGCTAGCCAAGCCCGTTAATGTCAGACCTGGGACTTTTGCCTAACTGTTAGAGATACTCCGTTTGCTTTGAGTTCACATAGGTGGTAAAATGAAAGCTAGAATGTCTGGTAACTATCTTTACCACCTCATGGGTGGTAAGAAAACTTTTTAAAGCATAGCAGGACAAATAGAAGTAATCTAAATATTCAAAACAGGGAAATGATTACATAAGTTGTAATATATCTAGTTATTTATAATAAATTATACTAATAACTACAAAAATGTTACAACACTAAACAAAACCAGCATATAACATTATATGTACATAATCATAATTGTGTAAAATCCTTGTGCATTTGAAAAAAAGAAGAGAACATTGGGAGGAAAATAATACAAAAATGATGATAGTTGTGTGGTTAAATATGATTATGAGAAACTATCCTTTTTACTAAGCTTTCTCTGTTGATTGTTATATGTGTTTTATAAATTAAAAATCATCATTTTGGAGCAAAAGAGCTAAAAGACACCTCGCCAATAAGATAAACAGATGGTAAAGAGGCATACAAAAAGATGTTCAACATCATATGTCATTAGGGAATTGCAAATTAAAACAACAATGAGATATCACTACACACCATTAGAATGTTCAAAACCCAGAAAAGTGACAACACCAAACGCTGGTGGGGATGTGGAGCAACAGGAACTCTCACTCGTTGCTGGTGGGAATACAAAACTGAACATGCTCTTGTCATATGACCCAGCAATTGCACTCCTTGGTATTTACCCAAATGAACTGAAAACCTGGAAGCAACCAAGATATCCTTCATTAAGTGAATGAATAAATAACTGTGGTATATCCAGACACTGGAATATTATTCTGTACTAAAAAAAATAATTTTTTTAATCAGTTATCAAGCCATGCACAAACATGGAGTAAATGCAAACATATATCACTAAATGAAAGAAGTCAGTATGAAAAGACTACATAATGTATGATTACAACTCTATGACATTTTGTAAAAGACAAAACTATGGCGACAATAAAAAGATCAGTAGTTGCCAGAGATTCATGATCAGAAAGAAGGAAGGAGAAATGAGTACAAGGCACACAGGGGATTTTCTGTAACTATTCTGTAATGAGGGATACATGTATTATACATTTGTCAAAGCCCATAGAGTGTACAACACAAAGAGTGAACCCTAATGTAAACTATGGACTCTAGTTAATAATAATGAATTAATACTAGTTCATTAATTATAAACACACACTCTAATGCAAAATGATATTAAGAGACGAAACTGTTGTGGGAGGGAGGGCAGGGTATATGGGAACTGTAAATTTTGCTTAATTTTTCTGTAAACCTGAAACTGCTCTAAAAATAAAGTCTATTAAAAATAATAATTTTAATGTGGTTCACAAAATCATCTGTCAATAAATTCTAGTCGTGTTTTTTATTTAGTTTGCTTAAATTTTTAGTGTTAGAGTATTTCTTCTCATTTGTAAATGTATTACAAATTTTCTACATAAATTTTAAAGCAAAATTATATTAAGAAAATGAGATTTTAGGCTGATGTAGATCTTAGAATATTTTATAGAAGCCATCTTAGTTAAGTAAATATTGGATTTTTTAACAATTTTTGTTGTCTTTGTAACAGATTTACTCATGGTTTGATCTCTGTTCAAATATATTGGTGATTGAAATGGCATATTTTATTTAAATCCATATCCACTGGATTTTTAAATGAATGAGAAACCTACTTGTAAACATAGCAATGGCTTCATAATGCCCGCTTTTAAAAAATAATCCTTTTTTCCTCCCTTGAGTTTCATCTCAATCATTTATAACTATATCATCCACATTTTTCTATCAAGTCCAAGATCCTTGCAGGCACTGAGGTTGCCCACTCATCACAGTCCACAGGATGAAAACCTGCTTGCCTTTTCCTTAGGCATTTTAATGTTTCCATTTACTGTCCTTCTGTTATCGCCAAGTTCCTTAGTCCTTTAGGGAAAAAATTGTTTTCTTTGGAGGTTGTAGACCTTTCTGAGAGCTAGTATAAGGATCTATTATTGCCCAGATGAGGTAGCTTCCCAAGGTAAAAAGATCGATGTGCAGCCAGGTTGCTAAAGACAGCTATTTCAGCATTTAAATGGAACAAACATAGACTGAGCCAGAAAAAAAAAAAAAAAATAGAATCTATGGATAGGTAACATATGAGAAATAAAAGACATACTGCCTATCTTTGATTGAAGGCAACTATGAAAAATTAATAGCTTATCAGTATTTCCCAGATAGTTTCACATTCATAATGCTCTAATATAAAATTAAATTAAATAACAACTGTTAAAGCAGATAAGTAAGGTTGTTTTTTTATATTTAATTTTGAGCTCAATGGTCTTGAAGTTAAAATATTGATTTTTTTTGGTCTACAATTAGCTCCCTAGGTATGGTAAGGTGCTGGCCCCTTTTATTACCTTCACTTCAGTGTGGTCAGGTTCATCAGCTCCTTCTACCCAGTAGATTTAAGGTGGTTGCTAAGCCAGGTCCCGAGCTCCCGATACTAGCACTGCGCCCTCTGCTGGACACTGTTTCCATTTCCAAATCTACTGGGCCAGGAAGTGAATGCAACCCACCCCTTGGAACCAGGCAGACAACACATGCTTATTTTTTGCCCTGAATTCTTCCACTTACTCATTTCATTTATATCCTATAAGCATCTCCAGAAGCAAAGATGGTGAATAAAGAGATCTAAGCAAATCTCTGCTACTATTTATCAGCTTACCTCAAGTTTAAATACATGACATAATACTAGCCTCCTCGGGGGACACATTTGCACGTGTGTTCAAATATGGCATGACCAATAATTTTCAAAGCCATACTTTTCTGTTTCAACTTTGATTACATAACCCTTTGATACTTGTGACCAGTAAAAATTAATTCTTTTAGAAAACACTTTTGTTCCTATTTCTACTATACTTTGAGCGTGACAAAGTTATCAAATTAAAAAATATATATTCTCTGGCATATATAGCTTTTGTCATTCACTGGAATTTTTTTTTCTCCCTTTTTAAGATAATAGCTGTCTTATAGCACTAATTTTATTATTAAATTTAGGAAGTTCCAAATGAATAACACTAACTTGACCAAAGAAATATTTTTTAACCTCGTAAAGCAGCTTAGTTAATGGCTATGTGTTTACTTTGCAGTAAATAAAGAGCCCTTTCTGAAACTTTTATTTGGGGACTGTGAACACCATTCTGCATTATTGGTTCCATATTTGCATGCTGCTCATAAACCAACAGAAAAGCCCATCACTCCTTTTTCCCATGGTAGACCAAAGTGGTCAAAATAGGTACTGGTAGTGTAAGGCTGCTATTGTGAGGACAGCCTTGGGACTGAAATGCCAAAAATACAATAAAAAACCCAGGTACTATTCCTCAGGAAACCAATCAACTCCTGTCCCAAAGAAAGCTTCCTGGAACCTTTGTCTTCTCTTTTTCTTTCAAATCTCTTTTCCTTCCTTTTCTGATCTCCACCTTTAGGCCCCAGCCCAACTTCTCCTCATTCATCAGAATGACTAATCTGAAATATCTCCCACTATATATGCAAAACACATTAGTTTTCACTCTGTTCAGGACATACATAGACCTTCCCCATTTTTCTCAGGACTTTTTTAATCCTTGAATTCTCATTACTTTTCTCACACTTTATTTCCACCTTTGACTTCATACATCTTTCTCTCTTCCTCTTCTAAGTCCTGGCAGTTGAATTGAACAGAATTTACATTCAAATAAAACATAAAACCTTTCCCCCAGATTTTCATACCAGCTACCTGAGATTGTACGTGTCCCACTAGGGAGTTCAGATATACTTGCTTAGAGTTTTTAAAAACAAGGTGATTTCATCCGCTTACTCCAGAGAGGAGGAGGGACTATTGAAAAACTGGTTTGGATTGATAAAGTACTTGTCTCTTATTTAAACAGCTCATCTTGCATCAACCTCTCTTTTCATTCACTAAAAAGATTCTGCAGCGCTCCTCATCTGAGAGAATCGGGCCTCCCGTGTCTGCTTTGATCCAGAAAAATCACGTTCTCATTAACACAAACATCTCCTGATTTCTGCCAATGCAATTTAGATTTTCAAATTATGTGTATGCATCACTTAGTAAAGTGCAGTCAGGCCCCAGGTCTGCCAGGCATTCAAACTGGGCAATCCCATGGCATGTATGTGGATTCATCCTAAAGAGGAGTCATGGTGATTATAATCTTGGTCCCTAAAGGAGCTACAGTTAGCCGTGTATTCTTTATTTCAAGGAAAGAAATGTAGTAAGTTCCAAGAATGTGATTTCACATCTTAAAAAGCAAAATTTAGATTCCCATCTACTCCTCTGAGCAATAGAAAAGAGGAAAACAAATTTTGTACTGAAAAAAAGTCCTGATTTTGGTGAGTTGAAAAGAGAGTAATGTCTTTAATAATATTTTAAATATGCAGCAATATACCTGTAACAATGTTGACATTTGGGAAGTAGAAACACACAGGAAGTTCTTATATCATAATGGAAATTGTCCTGGGTAAAGTTGGTCCATGTAAATGCCTTTAAACAATTTTTTTTTCCAAACTCAAATCTTCAAAGTCTTCACCTCTGTTTTCTCGTTCCATTCCAATCTTTTCTGAAACAGAAAGATAAACACCAGCATAAAATGTAGCATTTAAGCCATCCAGATACTCTATAATTATAAAATGTGTTAGAATTTCAATTAAAAATTCTGGAGAATAAATAAAAAACATATATAGCTAACAGATGACACAAATATTGAAACTATCAAACATGGACTTTAAAGTAACTATGTATTTATATGTTCAGGAAAATAGATGACAAGGTGGATATTACCAGATAACTGGAACTTATTTTAAAAAATGGAAATTCTAGGACTGAAAAACATAATAAATGAAATTTGTATCTTAATACATAGCTTGAACAACAGACTGGAAGACTGGACATAGCTGAGGAAAGGATCAGTGAACTCTAAGTTACATAAGGATAAAATATCCCGATGGAAGTCTGGAAAGCAAAAGGATAGAAACTACGTATTAGAGTGAAAGCGCCATGTGGGACATAATGAAAAATACTAACACACACAACACCATCTCCCTTCATAAGGGGAAAAGAGAGTCAATGAAGGGGGCAAGGGTAATATTTAAGCATCAACATCAAGAGATTTCCAATTGATGAAAGATATCGAGTCACAGATTCAAGTACTCTGAACTCCAGACAGGGCAACTGAAAAGAAAAACCACAGCTCTGCACCTCATGGTAAAGCAGCTGAAAAGCAAAGACAAAGAGAAAATCACATAAGAACCCCAAAAGGATACATTAGTTTCAAAGGGACAACCATAAAACTAAGAACTAACTCTTCAACAGAAAAGCTGTTAGACAGAAGACAGTGGATGATACAAATAGAATGGTGGGGGGGAGATCTGGCCACCAATGAAATTACCTTTCAAGAGTGAAATAACTTAGCCCTGCCAGGCGTGGCTCAGTGGTTGAGCGCTGACCTAGGATCCCAGGTGACTGGGATTCGGTTCCTGTTCAGGACCCGTTCCGGGGATGGAGGCTTGATCCCCAGCAGGGGGAGTGCAGGCTGATCAATGCAAGGACTCATCATTGATGTTTCTATTTCTTCTTCCCTCTGAAATCAATAAAGACATATACTTTTTAGAAAGAAGAAAGAAGGGGGGGGAAGGAAGTCATAAAGCAATTGGGAAAAGTCAAATTTAAAAGAACTAGTAATGCAGTAAATAGTAAATTAATTTATATGTTGTGATCAGTTGATTGTTTAGAAGTAGCTGGGAATTGTGATAGGCAAACAAAATCCTATTTACCGGAACTGAAAAATTTGTTCAATTTTTAAAAATAGCTATTGCTAATTCATTAGACAAATTTTCTACAAGCAAATAAAAGTTATCAATAGTTGATGATTTTTGAATGATTATGATGTGCTAAGCATTATGTTAGTATATCTCATTTTATCCTTTTGAGTTTGTTTATTTTACATATTTTTGAAGTGAATGTCAGGCAGGTTAAGTAACTGTTTACATTGAAAATAACAGATCTATCCCGGCCGGGCGTGGCTCAGCGGTTGAGCGTCGACCTAGGATCCAGGCCGATCGGGGTTCGATTCCCGGTCAGGGCACATGCCCGGGTTGGGGGCTCGATCAATGACTCTCTCATCATTGATGTTTCCATCTCTCTCTCTCTCCCTCTCATTTCCTCTCTGAAATCAATAAAGATATAAAAAATAAAAAATAACAGATCTATGTACAGAAAACTATTTTTGTTTATTTTTGTTGACTTTTTTCATTAATACACTTAATCATAACTATATATGTCAACTGTCTTGAAAAGGAAAACTTAATATTCCATGCATTTTTTAAATGTGGCAATTCTTAGCCAATGTGTGAAACACGTTTTCATAAAGAAAAAAAAAAGGAATTGTTTACATTGTTAAAATCCTAGCAATTAGTCCAAGTTATCAATTTATTGAACAAACTTTTATTAAGCATGTACTACATGTCAGGCATCATCCTTGGCACTGAAGATATAATACAAAACAACAGAGGTGTGTGGTCCCTGGCTATGGAGCAAATAATAATATTAATTATAAATTATTTCCTTTATTAGATAACAATGAGGGAAGACAAATAATCATAAATTCTGATGTGTGCTATAAAGCCCACAAAGAGATGCTCTGATAATTATAAATGAATACTCTTTTAGATATAATGATGGGCCTGAATTAGGCATTAGATAATTATCACATACACTTTTCACAGTATCCTTTTATTTTCAAAGTCATTGTTCTTTATTTAATGGCATGTAGCAAATAACTACCTTCAGTCATAGAGTGTGTAACATGTAGTACTGTGCAGACAAGAGTTCAAATGTCTATTTACTAATTCACAAGTGTATTTTAAGCACCTTCTATTTTGCCAGGAAAGATTCTAGATTCTGTGGATTCAGCACTGAAAAAAATAAAATCAAGAAAGTCCCTGTACTCATGGAACTTACATTTTAGTGGCTACATCTGGGTTTAAATCTTGAATCTAACATTTTTAGCTTTATGATCTTAGATAAGTTACTTAACCTTTCGAAGCCTCTGTTCTTTTATCTGTTTAAAAAAAAAAAAAGTGGAGGAAGGGATGATGTGAGATATATTTACATACCATGTATGCTCAAGAAATAAAAATTAACCCAGCCTGTGTGGCTCAGTGGTTGAATGTTGACCTATGAACGAGGAGGTCACCTTTTGATTCCTGGTCAGAGCACATGCCTGGGTTTCAGGTTTGATCCCCAGTAGGGAGTGAGCAGGAGGCAGCCGATCAATGACTCTCTCTTCATTGATATTTCTATCTCTCCCTCTCCTTTCCTCTCTCTGAACTCAATAAAAACATATTTTTTAAATAAAATAAAAAAAGAAATTAGATAGGCTGATAGTTCATGTAATTCATCCAATACATATTAGCTCTTGTTTTCTGACATGTATATTATGTCCTTTCTTAAAGCTTCCTTTACTTAGCTCTTACCACACATATTGGGGTTCATTTTGTTTTGGCCTGTAACCCCCTTTCCAATTTATTACATAAAGCATAAGCTACACATTTTTAGTATTTGCTCTTTTTTCATTCTAAAAATTTGTTGAATTTGTACCCATATTTAAAAATTAAGGAGAACTGAAACCACTAAAAGATATAAAGACTCCTCATCTGGGAATAAATTAAGAATAGTAATAAGTATGAAAATAACTAGATTTCACTTTCCTTTGTAATTATGTAACCAAACTCAAATATTTTTTCTTCCCCAAATTAGAAGAGTTTTAAAATGCAAAATCTCTCTGCCTCTCCCCCCCATATATCTATTATCTATCCATCTATCTATCTATCTATCTATCTATCTATCTATCTATCTATCATCTATCTATCATCTATCATCTATCTATCATCTATCTATCTACTATCTATCTATCATCTATCTCTTCATTAGAAACAAAAAAAAAAGAACTCTTATTCTGGTCTTTTCTATATTTCTGGTTCATATCCAGTGGACAAGAATAAAAAGCATTCATCCAACCAGTAATTAGTGATCATCTATAAAGTACCAGGAGCTCTTCCAGACTCTAGGGAAGTCCAGGCTCCTGCTCTCATGGAGCTTGTATTCTGAAGTCTGAAGCATTAGCTCTGCTGCGGCTACTGGATGGAGTAGTGGTAGGAGCCTACATGTGAATACACTTAGAGTTATAGACGGTATTGGAGGTAATCTAGACAATGTCCAGCCTAGTAGAGAAATCTGTATACTTGTCTTTCATTCCACCTTTTCTTGGATGCCTTCAGCGACAGGAAGTTCAGTATTTTTACCCTTTCCATTTTTAATAGGTTCCAACGTTAAAAGTTCTTATATTTTTCTGGCTTTTCCATTATTTAAAGGCAGCTTTATATTTGTTTGTCAGCTTTCACAGTGACACAGCCCCCTAAACTGTGCTAAAAACATCCAGTCTTTTAGTCATTCTAAATGTAATATTGTTATCAGTATTGCCAATGTGCATCCAAGATCCATAATTATTTAAAATGGTTTCTATATTTAGACTGACCAGCTCAGAATATAGGAAACCATTTCTTTCCATTTTGGTTCAAGCATTTTAGGGTTGAAATGCCTTGGTCACATTAACTGGTTGGTTCATATTAAATCTTTGTGACCATAGACTATTTCTTGTCATTATTACTCTATGGCCTTAGGGATGGTGATATGTGGGGAAAGCAGGTAAGCAAACAAGCCTAAGTGATTTCATATATTTCTTGATATTAAGTACAGTGCTATGTGACTTAATGACATTATTTTTAATTTATCAAAATTTAGGTATCAACTTAGAACATCCTTCGGGTCCAGAGCCAAAGGTGGAGTTTCAAGGTTACAGGAAACCAAACAGTTCCATGATTATTCAAATAAAATTTTTGGCACTGTACTCCTGTGAACAAGGACATTATATTAATATATTATTGTTATGCCATTTGAAATATGGATGTTTCCTGGCAGATAGGTTACAAAAAACAAGAGAGTATACCTAAGTATTTTATGGCTTCTTAGAGAAAGCTGATTTCTTTAAGTCCTGAATATTTGTTTTATATAAATAAATGTTTTATTCCATTCAGTTGAAATAATTTGGGAGTTATTGGAAATGCTCAAGAATTCAGTTTTTAAATTTTAAGGATGATCCAAAAAGTCCACATACACACACACACACACAGTATATGCTTCTTTGAAAAATGATAAAACATAATTGTCCTTATTTCTAATTATTTTTTCAAAAATAGGGGGATTAGAAAATATGTGACATAGTTCTAAGCAAAATTATGCATTGTTGAACCCACAAAGCAAAGAACATATAAAAACGTATAGAAGGAAAAAGTACTTTTCATATACGTGTGACTATCTATAAGAATTACAGATATAGCAGCAGTAAAAAGAAATTTTAGAATTCAATAAATGTTTAGAAATTTAAGACAATTAACAAGTTAAAAATTTTTGAATTTTGAAATTCTTATTTAATGAGAAATAGAAAACTAAAATAATGACAACAATATTAATGACAGTGTTTACAAAGGCTTTGGAATTTCAAATATTCCTGAGTCTTCTTGAAGCACATAAAATTAAAATGATGCAGTCACAATTTGTTTCTTAACTGTTTTATATTCAGTAATTTTTAATGAAATGACTAAATTAAGCATAACTTAGTACAGCTTTAATGTAGTTATGATGAATCTATTTTACTTGATTAAAAATGATAAGACCAGGGAGCCTTAAATATTATCTTAAAAGATTAACTAGTGTGCCAATTACAAATCTAGGAGAAAGGTATTTATAAGGGAATAACTATTCTGAACAGTAACTTCCTTTTGTTCATTTCATTTAATTAAAGACTCAATCAACTTTCACTCTTAATACTAAAATTTTCCTAAATTACACATTGGCTTGCAAATGGAAGGGCATGCAGCCGGGCTAAGACAATTTAAGACTACTGAAGATTCGGCAAGTAATCCATTTTTTATTGGGGGGAGGAGGGAGCTACGTGGCAGTGTAGTGATCTAATTAACTAAATAATCACCAATTCTACATTGCATTTTGTGTTACATGCCATAATATGAATAAATACCAATAAAAATCAAATTATACGGGTACCTAAATGAGGATGAGGCCTTCTCTGCCAACAGGTGCATTAATGAGTAGAAGCCTCAATTCCTTAAGACTGAGTCCATGAGGCAGGTATTTTCACCTGTCTTTTAGAGTGACCAGTTAACCAAAGTATTTATAAAGTTTCCTACTGTGGAAAGTAGGTGTGATCATCTGTATATGTTTATTTTGTCCAATAAGAGGGGAAAGCTTGCAAAGGGACAGTTTTGATCTATGCATTAGATTTTTATTAAAATACAAATAAATGGTCCTAGGTAACAATTTGCACCTGAGGAATACAGATAACTTTATCTACGTTTAATTACCAATCTCCTCTAAATTGGTAAAAGGTCTTCTCGGAGCATCTGGAGCGAACAGTTCCTCCCTCCTCAAGCCCTGCGGGGTGACCAGGTGCGCGCATCACACG